TAGAGTAGTGGGGGGGGGGAGGGAGAGGTGTCAGGGGCAGCATCAAAGCGACTGAAAAATAAGTTCAGTTCGTCAGCTAGCTTGTGGGTCGTCAGCACCGGGGGGGGGGGGCTTTGGGTTTGTAGTTGGTGATCTCCCGTAGGCCCCTCCAGACAGAAGCAGTATCGTTGTTACCAAACTGCTCCTGTAGTCGTTCTCTGTGCCGGGACTTGGCTGCTTTCAGTTCTCTCCTGAACTGATATTTAGCTGCTTTGTAGCCGCTGCGGTCCCCCTCCCTGAAAGCAGACTCCTTTGCTTTCCTGAGCTGCCGGAGTTTAGCAGTGAACCAGGGTTTGTCGTTGTTATAGATGACCCTGGTCCTTGTTGGAATGATGCTATCCTCACAGAAGTGAATGTATGACGTCACAGTGTCTGTGTATTCATCCAAACTGTCTGTGACACTACGAGCTATATATATAGCTCGTAGTGTGAAAAAAATATTTAAAGGAAGTATCTCATGAAAAAAGTAAAATTAACTGAACTTTGAACTAGTTCAGAATTAAAAATGTCAACTTTGAACGTGAACTGTTCACTTTGAGCATGTATGAACTGAACTTGAACTAGTTCAGAAAAGCTGTGAACTGGCACAACACTGGACACGTGTAAAGCGTCTTTGAGTGTCCAAAAAATCGCTTTATAAAACCGATGCATTATTATTATTACTTTTATTGGAAACTTGTTAGTGGATTGGATTGGCCCACTGGTTGAGAAACACTGCCTTTACACACAGTTTCCCGCACATTCAGTCGTATCATGTTTCCTGCTTCTCTGCTCAGAGTCAGTTCGTGCTGAAGATTAAAAATCATATCCTCCTCTTTCGTCGAGTGGGAAATAAACCCGGGATAAAGAGGTACATTCTTCTTTATCTTTAGCGGTGAAATCTTCCACGCGCTGTGATAAAATATACAAACATATACAACACACTCTATATTCCTGTGAGAACAAAAGCAGCAGGCTTCATACAGATTTACATCCTCCGCAGCAGAGGATTCTGGGAGAACAACCTGTCGGGGACTTCACTGTGGAAATGAGAGAAAGTGGAAAAGGAGACACATTCTTTGATCACAGTATTGCACTAGTTCAGTGTTTACAGACGTGCTGCAGGACTCCTTGTACAGTCTGACAGCAGCAGGAAGCAAAGATCTTAAAACTGAAGAGGTCCAAATAAAATGTGAGGACTTTGATGCCAGGCTAAATGTTTTTTACCGTATTTTTCGGACTATAAGCCGCAACCATCGCATGTTGTAATATTGAAAAACGTTCTTATTACTGTAAGAAACTTGTTAATTCTCCGGTGAAAGCAGAAAGCTACGGAGCAACGTCCACTGGTCTCTTTTCACTTTCATGTCTGTACAGAGGACCAAAAACTATTCATATTTTCTTTTAGTATTTTCCATGAGAACAAATGACTAATTGACTTATCGTACAATCTAAGTGGGCGACTCATAATCTCCGTTTGTCGACTGATACTTAGATAAATGTTTTTTGCGCCACCGGAAAAAATAAATAAAAATAAAATCAAGCCACACTTTAAAGTGATAGTCTGGAACACTAAATTAATTACAAATTATAAGAACTGTATTAAATGGACCTCCTGGCCTTAAATGTTGATATAATATAAGTAATTTAATGAATTCTAATATCACGGGTAAGTCCCGCCTTCCTTTTTCTCAGCTATAGCTCAAAATCCACGATCCAGTCCACGTTAACCAATCAAGTGATGTCAAGAGCTGTCAATCATCGGCGCTGATTTACAGTGCCTTGCGAAAGTATTCGGCCCCCTTCAACCTTTCAACATTTCACCACATTTCAGGCTTCAAACATAAAGATATAAAATTGTAATTTTTTGTCATGAATCAACAACAAGTGGGACACAATCGTGAAGTGGAACAAAATTTATGGGATAATTTAAACTTTTTTAACAAATAAAAAACTGAAAAGTGGGGTGTGCAATATTATTCGGCCCCTTTACTTTCAGTGCAGCAAACTCAGTCCAGAAGTTCAGTGAGGATCTTTGAATGATCCAATGTTGTCCTAAATGACTGATGATGATAAATAGAATGCACCTGTGTGTAATCAAGTCTCCGTATAAATGCACCTGCTCTTTGATAGTCTCAGGGTTCTGTTTAAAGCGCAGAGAGAACCATGAAGACAAAGGAACACACCAGGCAGGTCCGAGATACTGTTGTGGAGAAGTTTAAAGCCGGATTTGGATACAAAAAGATTTCCCAAGCTTTAAACATCTCAAGGAGCACTGGGCAAGCAATTATATTGAAATGGAAGGAGTATCAGACCACTGCAAATCTACCAAGACCCGGCCGTCCCTCCAAACTTTCATCTCAAACAAGGAGAAGACTGATCAGAGATGCGGTCAAGAGGCCCATGATCACTCTGGATGAACTGCAGATAACTACAGCTGAGGTGGGAGAGTCTGTCCATAGGACAACAATCAGTCGTGCACTGCACAAATCTGGCCTTTATGGAAGAGTGGCAAGAAGAAAGCCATTTCTCAAAGATATCCATAAAACGTCTTGTTTAAAGTTTGCCACAAGCCACCTGGGAGACACACCAAACATGTGGAAGAAGGTGCTCTGGTCAGATGAAACCAAAATCGAACTTTTTGGCTACAATGCAAAACGATATGTTTGGCGTAAAAGCAACACAGCTCATCACCCTGAACACACCATCCCCACTGTCAAACATGGTGGTGGCAGCATCATGGTTTGGGCCTGCTTTTCTTCAGCAGGGACAGGGAAGATGGCTAAAATGGATGGGAAGATGGATGGAGCCAAATACAAGACCATTCTGGAAGAAAACCTGTTGGAGTCTGCAAAAGACCTGAGACTGGGACGGAGATTTATCTTCCAACAAGACAATGATCCAAAACATAAAGCCAAATCTACAATGGAATGGTTCACAAATAGACGTATCCAGGTGTTAGAATGGCCAAGTCAAAGTCCAGACCTGAATCCAATCGAGAATCTGTGGAAAGAGCTGAAGACTGCTGTTCACAAACGCTCTCCATCCAACCTCACTGAGCTCGAGCTGTTTTGCAAGGAAGAATGGGCAAGAATTCCAGTCTCTCGATGTGCAAAACTGATAGAGACATACCCCAAGGGACTTGCAGCTGTAATTGCCGTAAAAGGTGGCGCTACAAAGTATTAGCGCAAGGGGGCCGAATAATATTGCACGCCCCACTTTTCAGTTCTTTATTTGTTAGAAAAGTTTAAATTATCCAATAAATTTTGTTCCACTTCACGATTGTGTCCCACTTGTTGTTGATTCTTGACAATTGTTTTTATTTTTATATCTTTATGTTTGAAGCCTGAAATGTGGCGAAATGTTGAAAGGTTCAAGGGGGCCGAATACTTTCGCAAGGCACTGTATATACTGAACCTATATACATATAGAACAGGAGTTATATACTGTACATAAAGGGCAGGATAAAAAGTAGTTTCGGTAAAGTACAGTACCATTGTTCAGTGGACACAAAGTTGCAGAATGTCAATGTGTGTGTTTTGGAAAACAAAACTAAATCTTCACATTATTTGCTTTTCTCATTATTCTGACCAATCCGCTGACACTGAATCACTTCCAAGGGCTCACTCCAAATCACATCTTAGGGCACGCTAATCTTATCCCACATGGGAAAAAGTCGGTCAGTAGTTAGTTTGATGTTGAATAAGGAGCCTTTGACCAATCAGAGCTGCAGATCAGAGCAGAGTCAGAGCGGGAAGGAAAGGAGCAGAGTTTGTGGCAGTAAAGTGTGGATTTAAAGAAAACCGAAGGATTTAAGAAGAAAAAAAAGTTCAGGATGACAAGGCATACTAAAATCCCCACAAATCTTCGATGCGATCTTTATTAAAGCTGTAGGTTCTCTGTCAGCTGAGGTTGAGCTGTTTTAAGCCTAGCGTACATCGGACTGGCAACTGATTATATCCGTCGCATATGAGTTGCTGCCCCGCACACATCGGCAATCTGGTGAAAACGGGCAACTCCCAGTAGCAGACCAGTCTCGGGAATAACAGCGCGTACATCGACAGCAACTGTCCGTCACCTACAGTGTGTTTTCTGACATAAACTGTTGCGCGCTCGCAATACACGCAATACACACACGTTGTCGGAGCGGCGCATGGAGCGCGCACATCGGGTCATATCTCCGAAACTGAGGACAACTAGTTGCCAAAAAGTAGAACACGGGCAACTGACTGAAACTGGAGACCGACTGATCATCTCCAGTTGTAAGAGCGCGCACATCGACCTATTTCGGCAACTGATCATCTCCCATCATCTACTCTCAGTTGCCAAAAGCCGCCTTGCAACTAGTTGTCCCCAGTTTCTCTGTCGATGTACGCTAGGCTTTAGTTTACATTGAGTTCTATGGGACTTTTTCTGGGAAGCCCACGTGAATATAGTCTGCAGTACCACGGGCGCCCCCTGTGGCCATGGGTGGGACAGCTGTAAGCTAGTAATACTCTATCCTGTTATTATTATAGATCCATGCTACTTTCTCATCTTCTGAACAAAAACAATGAAGCAAGCGGTTTGAGCTCATTAAATGTGTCTCTACTGTAGGTTTATGTGATAGTTCTAAACTCATCGTTTCAACTCATTTAACTGTGATGTTGTGAGTAAAGACAGTTCTTGTTGGAAACACAGTTGTTATTAAAGTGTATTCAGCACAAAAAGCAAAACAGTGACAAATATCAAACCAAACTATTTACAAGTGCAGGAGGAATGCAGGAAACAAGTGCAGATTCAAACAAAGACACAAAACAAATTCAAAACAAACAACTGTATAAAAGTTGGACATGATGATTGTACGCATAAATATAAGGTTATACAGTATTACAGCATATTTATGTGTGTTCTCTTTTATTACGACGGCAACAAAAGGAGTAGCTCTCTGCCTCTTCTGTTGTGTAAAAGAAGCTCTCCTGAAAAAGGCTGGAGACCCTGCTTCAGAGGACATCTTTAAAGTCCTGCCCACAGTTCTCAAGTGCCTGGTGTCCTAATGTCCTGGTGTATGGCGGGGGCTCTGCAGGGGGCCACAAGAAGGTGCGGATCCAGCTGCAAAACAACACATTTATGAACAGTTCTAAAGCTGGGGGACCTAAATATTTACTGTGTTTATCTCATCAGAAAGAGTCTTGTAAAAGTCAATTCAGAAGAAAAACAAATCAGATGTGAGCCACTATTTGACACTTTGGGCTGAGACCTGATTGGCCGAGTGAGGGAGCCCAACTGTTTTAGAGCCGGGATGTCTCTAAAAGTCTATAAAAAGAATCTCTACCTTTAGCTTATAAAAGAAGCAAATACAGTATAGACATTTATACTATACATCTGTAGATAAATCAGCAGTAGTATTAGGGTATAGTTATTTGAGTTTGCAAAATGAGGTACCCCAGCTTTAATAGTGTTATTTTATGCTTTGTCAGGACTGACCGGTGAGTACGGCGGAGGTGGATCCATGGAGCTGTACCTAGGAGGGGCCCTCTGGCACAGGACCCCCACCTCTGCCCCACGCGCACTCTCCCGGGGCGTGGTGACGTCATAGGACCCCTGCGCTTCTTGGAGTAGCGGTAGTAGCACAGGAGCAGGACTGCTGCGATGGACACGGCCACCAGGGGGAGACTGCACCAGCACAAGGTTAGAACCATAGAACTGGTGCTTGTTCCAGTGAAGACACGTGAGCTGTCATGGATCATAATAAAATATCTGTCCACTTACATGACCTGAAGCAGACTCACGGCTGGGTTCATGGCCTCACGCGCGGGAAATGACGTTTTTAGATTTCACAAATTTTGATTTCATTTTGCTCAGTTCCATTCAGTAGAAGCATATGATGGAACAAGACTGACCTCATGTGGCTTTACTCAAGGACTCCCTCGATTATGAGCCGTCACTTTGACTGCTCCCATTCAAACCAATGGAATTATGAAAAATTCTCCCCAAAAATGTTCTGATTTTCACCAGTTTGATTTTTTTCAAACGTTTTTACTCACTTTAAATAAGTGCTAAAACTGGTGAACATAACTTGAAATACAGCAAAACATTAGTTTGTTGAAAAGCTCCTGACAGTAAACAGTGTGTTGCCATGGTAACTAACACTTGGAAATTATCTGCTCTTAGTCATTATAATTTAATATCCGAATCAGAATAATTTTTTATGCCACATAAGTAACAGTTGCTTTGGATCAATACAATAGCATACATTTATATAATAATTTACTTTAATTAGTTTACTCCAGTTTTTTTTATTATTTCATAAAAACAATGACACAGAAATAAACTATTCATCAATACAGAAGGTACACACAGAATCACACACTACCGTCAAATTGACTGCTCTGGGAGTTCTGTTGTTGAAGTGCACACCTCAAGGTTCACAAAACACACTAAACACCATAAACATATTATTTTAATTTTCTTCCTAGTTTGACGTATTGTAGTTTTATCATTTCACTTCCTGGTTCTGACTGATGACATCACGCTGGGGGTGTTACCAAGCAACCATGTAATACACTGCGTGAACAAAGTAAATGATCAGAATATTCGTTTCTTTAGCTGAGTTACGTGTTAGAAAATGTAAACTTCCAAACTTTATGTTTTAAACTGTAGTCATTCCACCAAAATATGTCAAAATTATGAATCAATAAAAACTCAAAATACTCACTTTGAAGCAGATGTGAAGTCTCCAAGTCGATGTCAGCCTGGCTCGGCACAGAACACTTATTTTAACTGATTCAAACGACTGAGAGTTCCATTGTTTTCTTCTGAGCACAATCAGGATGTTCTGCTGATCCCTGATGACTCTGACTCTGCTGCTCACCTGATCTCTCTGGACTTTTAGCCTCACACTGATAAAACAGCTGCAATAATGACATAACATACACATACATGTTGATGAAATGTTCTGTATGTATAATATCTGAGTCTGGACCATTTAAAGACACACACACATATTTTCTCTAGGGCTTTTATTACAAAACAACAGGATACAAATAACTAAAGCAGTAGCAGCGCATTGAAATAAATAAGAGTGAGTGGATGTGATGGGAGGAGGGAGGTGATGAAGAGGAGGTGATGAAGAGGAGGTGATGAAGAGGAGGCTCAGGTCGTGGCAGGAGCGGTGTCCCTGAACACGTCTGCGTATGAAGGAGGAGCAGCTTCCATGTAGGACGGAGGCTCCAGCTGCAGACGGAGCGATGACACTTTATACACACTCACGTTAGCATGTGCGACTGATTATTAGCTCTGTGGTATTAGCAAACTCCAACTCCAACTGCACACTGGGGTAGTCTTGCACAGTTTTTCCAATGTGGTTTTACTGCAAATGGCAAATAAATGAATCTGAATCTGATGTTTTAGAGCTTGTTTTTCAGACGTGTCCTGGCCTCTTTGTACATGTTTTTATTTATTTTTTGTGATTGGGGAAACTAAGAGGGAGTCAGAGACACAGAGAGAACATGCAAACTCCACACGGTAAAGCCAGGAGCCTAAAAACAACGGTTCTAGAATTATATTAAGATTTGATTTGCCTTTATATCTATTGCATGTGACTTCTTGTGACTTACTAAAGGCAATATAAAGACTTCTTAATTCTGAGGAACGGGATTCAGCTTTTATATATATTTTTATCTGTAAGTATAAAAAACGGGCGATGGAAACGTGGCTTTATTCTTCTTTTTAAAATCAAAGGTAATGTTAAAACGTCGGCATGTTTCCTGATACATTTCTTTTCAGTTTTAAAGATAAAAATGAAGAGACTGAAAAACTGTGGCATGCCTGATTTTTTTTTTGAATCGTTAAAAATGTCTGAAATAAATGGAAAAACTCACGAAAACTAAACATATTTCATAAGATATTTGGTCTCAACCCACAAAAACAATCCTTCGTCCATTTGGAACCACGGGCCTATATACAGTACACTGGATCCCTTCATACCAGGAGTTGGATTATGGATTATTATTGTTTTTATTAAATTTATTTTAGTGCATTTGTACGACTGGTAGAACTTTGACTTTACCTGAACCTTAACCGCTACATTCAGAACATGTTTGTGACTATTGTGCTTGATCTCCACATTCTGTACCTATCGATACGATACGATACGCGATACAAAGCTCACAATAACGATTATATCACGATAACAATTAGCAATATATTGGTCAGCAATATACCATATGCCAACATTTGGCATACATAAAATAGAAAAATGTTAAGTGAAAAAATACACTTTATTTCATGATAAATAGAATAGAGATGTGTAATGTAGCCATATATTAAGTATTGATACTAGTAAACAAATAAAATTAAATTAAAAACAATAAAGAAAAAAAAAATCGTTACATGGCAAATGCATATCAATAATCGATCGCGGGAGAAAGTGTCGCAATATATCGAAAAATCAATATATTGTCACACTACTAGTCACATTCTGTCTGAAATCAAAATACTCCAAAGCCATAGAGAAAGATTTCAAAACCAGACTTAGACCACACCTGTACATACCTCAGATTGCGGCTGTAGCGGCTCTTACTACTGTATTACTGTAATTAATACATGTCGAGCAGGGCCCGGGAGCTATACCAGTAGCTCACCAGCCCCTTTCAGGAAGCTCCCCAAAAGATTTAGAATTGAACACATGATCTTGAATGAAATTCTTTTGAGTTATTATATATCTATTATTAGCATGAACATAGAGTTATACAGTATTACAGTATATTCTACATGTGTTCTCTCATAAACAATACATAGATTTTTATTATGAATGCAAAAAGGAGTAGCTCTCTGTAGGGCTGCACGATGTTGGAAATTAGTGCAATATTTGATATCAGTTTAGTTTTACGATAATATTGCGATATTTTTGTCTTTCACCTAAAATTGCATTGAAACGCAAGAGACAAATAACAAAAAATAAGCACAACATTAATGACAATCAAAAGCATAAATTTATATACTTTTGTTTGTATGTATTTGTTTGTTTGTTTGTTGCCTCTTCTGTAGTAGCTCTCTGATTGAGAAAGTTTTGAGTGTAATTTAATGATGCAATGAAGGTTTTGGCGTTTGTAAAGTATTTTTGACGTCTGCTTACTTCTTTTGAGCTGTTTTTAGCACGTAAAAAACATCCAAATGTATCTGAAAACACATTTGAGCTGAACTGAACGTACCCTGTAAGGCGGCGGCAGGCCCAGGTCTCGGGGGCAGTAATCTGGGCCGTCCCTGTGAGCGTAACGGGTCTCAAACATGCGGTCCGGGTCCTCTTCGCAGACTGGGATCACGTACACAGACTGGGCCTCCATGACTAGAGCCTCCTCGTCCCCCTCTCTCCGCTGCTGTTTCACATAGTAGCAGCAGAAGACCCAGAAGGGGATCCCCACACACAGCAGTGGAATCCTGGGATAGAAAAGCGAGTCCCGTCAGTGACCAACGTGGACAGACACATGCAAACAGTACTTACTCTAAGAAGTAATAACTCATGTCCAAGAAGCTGCTCTCGGGGTTGAACAAGGAGTCTTCGGTTGATCCGAGGTCCCGGCCCCAGCGTCTGTCCGGTTAGTTTTAACGACATGTTCAAAGGTCGCCTCTTTTATCTGATAGTTATAAAGTCTTTGTCGAGACGAGACGGAAACACAAGAGCAGTGTCGACCCACTTTCCTATGGTCACATTTCACAATATCTAAAACAGAAATATCATATGGTTTGGTGTCATTCCTGTGGGCGATTTTTGGAATATTTGTCGTTTTCATTAAATGCATTGGTTTCAAATTGTGCTTCCTGACCAATGGCGGGACGTAAATGGTCTGGTCTGGTCTGGTCTGGAATGTACTTGTTTTATGTACAGTAACAGACACATAACAAGCTTCACATTTGGACTCAGGACTCTTCGGGTTGACGAGGTGGGATCGCATATCATCATTATCGATCATTATCTATCACTCTTTTTGGATTTGTATTATATTAATCTGATTTTATTGTGAAATGTTTTTATCTTAAAAATAACCCTGATTTCCCAAATACTTGTACGTGTAGTCCTCCTTAACCATCTCTGAGTCTTTGGTGGCAGCTGTGGATGTGATTCTTTTATCTGTCCATTTCACTTGACAAGCAGCCCCAAGACCCAGTACATGTCTGGACCACCTTAAACCATCAATCATCTCCGTGTGAGTCCAGAGACTTCCAGGACCTGCATCACGTCGTTATCAGGTCCCTCCGTTACAGGTCCCTCCGTGCTCCAAGAGTCAAAAGATCAAACTTTCAAATGTAGGTCAAGATAAAACTCGGCGAGTGACAGAACTGTGATGTCACGTGTCCCTGATGAGACCCTGATGAGACAATGATGAAACCCTGATGAGATACTGATGAGATACTGATGAGACCCTGATGAAACCCTGATGAGACCCTGATGAGACACTGATGAAACCCTGGTGAGATACTGATGAGACCCTGATGAGATACTGATGAGACACTGATGAGACCCTGATGAGACACTGATGAAGCCCTGATGAGACACTGATGAGACACTGATGAAGTCCTGATGAGATACTGATGAGACACTGATGAAGCCCTGATGAGATACTGATGAGACCCTGATGAGACACTGATGAAGCCCTGATGAGACACTGATGAGACCCTGATGAGACACTGATGAAGCCCTGATGAGACACTGATGAGACCCTGATGAAACCCTGATGAGACCCTGATGAGACACTGATGAAACCCTGGTGAGATACTGATGAGACCCTGATGAGATACTGATGAGACACTGATGAGACCCTGATGAGACACTGATGAAGCCCTGATGAGACACTGATGAGACACTGATGAAGTCCTGATGAGATACTGATGAGACACTGATGAAGCCCTGATGAGATACTGATGAGACACTGATGAGACCCTGATGAGACACTGATGAAGCCCTGATGAGACACTGATGAGACCCTGATGAGACACTGATGAAGCCCTGATGAGACACTGATGAGACCCTGATGAGATACTGATGAAACCCTGATGAGACACTGATGAGACCCTGATGAGACCCTGATGAGACCCTGATGAGATACTGATGAGACCATGATGAAACCCTGATGAGACACTGATGAGAGACCAATGAGACCCTGATGAGACACTGATGAGACACTGATGAGACCCTGATGAGACACTGATGAGACCCTGATTAAACCCTGATGAGACCCTGATGAAACCCTGCTGAGAAGGGCCGTGATGAGCCAACACACCTCAAACCTCAGCAGCAGAAGCAGTCTGGAGTCAGAGGATTGTGGAGGGTCCGTGTCGGAGCTTGTCTCGGTGGAATGCAGCGCCGCTCTGTCCGGACACGTCCACATTTTTGATTCTATATGAACTTTAAGATTATCAGCAGATTTTGGTAAAGCCCCCGCAGACCCGTTTTATGTATTTGATGTTGTATTTCTGATATTTTACTGTATTTATGTGTGTTTTTATTGTACCCACACTGGTGCTCTGTCTGTAAATGTTCTTCACCAATGAATAAAGTTATTTGAATTGAAGCAGTTTTGTCACACACACACATGATGTTTGGACGTAAACACAGATACAGAAACACGCCTCACTTCCTGGGGTTGATTTCAACATAAAGAAAAAACAGAAGAGACTTGAAATCATGACGAGTGTTAGTGCTTTTCTGAGTTTATATAAAATACTTTTGAAAACCACGAGGATTAAAGCAGATTAAACCATAATCTACAATTATCAATGCTTTTCATGACTCTTTAGCACCATTTCCACCAGCCCCACTCTACTCTACTCTACTCAGCCCTACTTTACTCTACTCTACTCTATTACTCTACACTACCCTACTCTACTCTACTCTACTCTACTCTACCCTACCCTACCCTACTCTACTCTACTCTACTCTACTCTACCCTACCCTACCCTACCCTACTCTACTCTACTCTACTCTACTCTACTCTACTCTACTCTACTCTACCCTACTCTACTCTACTCTACTCTACTCTACTCTACTCAGCCCTACTCTACTTTACTCTACTCTACTCTATTACTCTACACTACCCTACCCTACTCTACTCTACTCTACTCTACTCTACGGCCCTACACTACTCTACTAAGCCCTATTCTACTCTACTCTACTCTACTCTACTCACCACTCTACTCTACTCTACTCTACTCTACTCTACTCTACTTTATTCTGCTCACTACTCTACTCAACTTAGCCTGAAAAAAGGTTGTGTTCCTGTTTTCTACTATATTGGAACCTCCCCACAGCAAACCATATCTTGGAAAATTCCTTGGTAACCATGACTTCCAGCAGCACTTTTGCCAATCACTGTCGAACGTAAGTACCAGCTCGGCCTGGATAGAACCAGGACCAAGAGGGACTAAAGAAGGACCTGGTACTGGTTACACGGGATCAGAGGAAACACCGAGCCCAACCGATCAGCTTGGGTCAGGTAGGGCCGGTGGAAACGAGGCTTGTTACCGATCAAGCCGTTGTATTGGACTACGGCAAGCCACATGGAACTATATGAACACTTTCAAACATGTTTATTAAAAATCAACAAAGGAAAGAGCAGTGTGTGCTTCGATGGTTTGAGCTTCACTCTTGTTACGCGGCTCCACGGCTCGTTACGCTGTCATTATGTAAAGTATGGTCCTGTTTTGAATGTGTCGTTTCAGAACCCTCTTCCCCTGAGCCACGGCCGAGAAAACAGTCTGGTTTTATTGCTGTCAAAAGGGCTATCAAAACTATGTTTGGTCGGAGTGAACACCTGGCGACACTTCCCCTTTAAATACGTACTCTACACATATTCGTTTTAATTCTGTATAATCATCTTTGTATCAAAAAATCTTGAAAGCTACAGGAACATTACCGGAGAATAGGTGGAGGGGGTGGAGGGGGTGGAGGGGGAGGAGGGGGAGGAGGGGGGACTGCACCTGTGGCTGAGCTCGTGGGCGGAGGAGGGGGAGGGGGAGGCAGTGGCCCTGTGGCAGAAGCTGGGGGAGGAGGGGGAGGAAGCGGGGACAGGGAGCCAGGGGGCGGGGGCGGAGGAGGGTAGCTGGAGTACGAGGAACTCATGGAGGTTGGGGGAGGTGGGGGAGGCAGGGTTGAGGGGGACAGCATGGTGGTGGAGGAGGAGGCTGTGGGAGGGGGAGGCGGGGGGAAGGTGGAGGTGCCAGACGGAGGGTCCGAGCTGAAGCTGGAGCTGTCCTCGGGGCGAGTGGGGACCGAGGGGGGAGGGACCGCGATCCCAAAACTGCTTCTGTGGAAAGCAAAACACAAAATACTAAAAAAAAAAACAACAACCAAAACACAGGGGGTCAAACTGGTTTCAGAAAGAGCCAAAATGGCCGCTGAAATGAGTGGAGTCTGGTGTGCTCCTGCTTGGTTAGAATGAAAACCTGCAGCCACCGGTTTGACCCTCCTGGTTTACACATCATCATCGTTCAGTAATATAAACATATCATTGAGCTGTGGTCCCTAACTATTTTCAGTTACGCATAGCTATAACTCACAGTTTATCCTCTGCAAAAAGTACAACATGATTGTGACGAGACCAGATTCAGGATGTTCTAGTCCTCTAGAGCTGCGGCTCTGTGGCTTCTCTGAGTCTGATGTTGTTTGGTTGTTGTTTCAGGTGAATTGCAGCAGCAGCTGTTTGTGTGAGATGACATTAAGCAACAGTTGCATTAGTGCAACGCCTAAAACCAGAACCAGGACCAGGACTAGGACCAGGAAACCAGCGGCCAGTAGCACCTCAGTGCCTTCACACCAGTGACTCGTTACTGTTCACGTACATGTTTATGAGGCTAGGAGCCTTGACGTCTGTTGCTGTCTCCATGTCCTTCTCGGGCTGTGGCTCCGTCACCTGTCAGAGAACCATGATGAAGTAAAGAGCCTCTTGTTTATGACCATGTGATCATGGGTTTGAGTGTTGACCTGGAAGCAGTGTCCCACAGAGTCCAGGATGCTGTAGGACAGAGACACTCTGGAGTAGCTCCTCTGGGGCTCCTTGCCTGCTGCAGGGGGGGCCATGAGTTTGGTGCGGGTGCAGTTTTTGGGTGAAGTGAAGACTCCTATCTCTCTGCGGGCCACTTTCTCCAAGTGGAAGGCTGCGGCCTGAGGACAACATCACTGCTTCATGAACACTGTAGAGCATGTGAGACAGAGAGGAGCTCACCAGAGACAGCAGGCGGATGGAGGACTCCATGTGCTGGATCTGAGCGCTCTGAGTGTCCAGCAGCTTGAGCAGGGAGCAGGCCACGCTGGTGATCTGGTACGTCACACTGGCCAGAGCCTGCGCCGCCAACGCCTTCGACTCATCTTTGGCTTTGGTCTGGTCCTCTGTCTGACAGACACAGACTTTCGTTTCAGGTGATTAAGAAACACTCTGGACAAATGACATCATCACAATATCACAAAATGAAATCTCCCGTAGTGAAATAAGACATTATTTATGGACAGAGCGGTGAATATTGTCACAAATAAACACATTCTGCTGAACAGTCTGATATGAGAGACTTGTGTCACTATTCCTCATAATAGATCTTAGCATTATCTACAGTTTATGTGCATGATACACCCATGCAGGAAACTGATGCAGTAGTAAAGAAGCATATGTAGTAAAGTAGTATCGAAGTATACTATAGTACTATAGTAATACAGTATAGTAGCAAAGTAGTATAGTATAGAAGTATAGAAGTATAGTAGTACTTCTATTGTAGTATAGTAGTATCGTATAGGATAGTAGAATAGTACTATAGTAGTAGTACCTGCAGGTAGTTGCTCTCGCAGTACTGCGCCACCTGGATGAGGTTCTCCTGGTTGTCCTTCAGTTCTTTCCTCGCTGTTGGAGCAGACTGTAGAATGTCGCTGATCTCCTGTCTGAAGTTCCTCTGCGCAGGTATCTCTCCCATGGCGACAGTTCATCAAATGAACCTTGTTTTCAGACGCACTGAAGTTTCTTTGCACTCAGGGAGCGTCCGCCTCCCTCAGTGAAGGCGGAAACTCCGCAGGCTACTCATTCCACCGTCTGCACTTTAAATCTGACCAGAGCCACGGATCTGCGGCTGATGGAGAAGAAATGACACATTACAGACACTTGTATCATGTTACTGATCCACGCTCAGGACTTTTGTCATTTAACAAGTCTTCTCACAGCACGTCTCTGACATGCACTACCTCTGGTGTCCACTAGAGGGCAGTGCGCCTGCGCGAATGGACATCACTCATGCACTTGACCAGGTTCTCGCACTTGACACGATTCTGTCAATCAGTATTTATTTACTGAGTCACTGAGGCTGTGATCATTTTATGTTTTTATGTTTTCGATTTTTTTTGTGTTTTGTACTTTAGTTGTTTATGGTATACACTCATAATGACTTCAGCCGTTCTAAAATGTATAGTTTAAATAACAATTGCTGAGAGGCAGAAGGACTACATTCACAATGTAACAACATGTATATAACACGAGTATAACATTAGATAAACAGGGAGTGGAACCTCCTCAGGCTTTTCTGAACACTGTTCCCAGAGAGTCCATTCATACAATAAACAGAATAATACAACCATTAAGACATTCTTCATGTACAGTACAACAGAACATCTCCTGTGCATTAGTTCCATGAGGCCTCAGGCCTGATGCTCAGATAGTGCAGCTGTAGAATAGTCATTTCCCAAAGAATAATGTTTGTTTAACACAAACATGAAGTTTGTCTGTTGTCCCTAAAGCATTCATTACATTGTTAGTGTTTTCTGAAGTTCTTCTTCTGTTTCTATGTAGATTCTTTTCTTCAAGACATTTACTATAAATGTTTTTACATCACTATCTTCCAATTGTCTGGCATAGAAGAACCACATGCCTTTGTTTTATAAAGAATTTTATAGTAGTTATTAGTAATTGTAACATATGTCTTGAGCACAAAAAAGAGCACGAAAGCTTGAGAAATAGCAGGGGCTCAGAGCTGGAGGGGGCCTGAAGGTAAAGGTGACAGTGGTGCCCGTGGTGGAAGCTGGAGGAACAGCAAAAATACTGCGCAGAACCCTCAAGCTCCCAGGCCTCTGGAGGATCTGAGCTTAGAGGGTCCTGTACCAGAGGGGCGGCGGAGGGTGAAAGTTAAGTGTTTAATAAATAACAAAAATAAACCTTCGTGGACATTTATCCCTCTCTGAGCTCGAGTCCTCTGACAGAGGCCTGGGAGCTTGAGGGTTCTGCCCAGTATCTTTGCTGTTCCTGTTTATTGCTAGGGCCTTGTTCTTGCGAGCGAGTGAGACTCTCCGAGTCACCATCCTGCTACATTTATCGAGTCAGAATGACATCCCGATGTCATGGCTGTAGATCCTGGTTGTTTGGATCAGAGAGTCGATGTCTCTCTCGCTCTTGGCGTACAGCTTGATGTCATCCATGTAGAGGAGGTGACTGATCTTTGCTCCGTTCCTGAGGCGGTTTCCATAGCCAGTCTGGTCGATTACTTGGCTTAGAGGGTTGAGGCCTATGCAGAACAGTAGTGGGGACAGAGCATCTCCTTGGTAGATACCACATTTGATGATCACTTGAGCGACCGGCCATTTGCCTCAAGGGTGGTCTTCCACATTCCCATTGAGTTTGCAACAAAGTCCCTTAGAGCCCTGTTGATATTGTACAACTTCAAGCATTCCATGATCCATGTGTGTGGCATTGAGTCGTAGGCTTTCTGGTAATCAATCCAGGCTGTGCACAGGTTGGTGTGTCGTGACCGGCAGTCTTGGGCGACTGTTCTGTCAACCAGGAGCTGGTGTTTGGCTCCTCTGGTGTCCCTACCAATGCCCTTCTGTGCTGTGCTCATGAATTGTTCCATATGCCCACTTATCTTAGCCGCAATGATGCCTGACATGAGCTTCCATGTTGTGGAGAGACAGGTTATTGGCCGGTAGTTGGAGGGGACTGCACCCTTCACAGGGTCCGTCATGATCAGGACCGTCCGCCCTTCGGTTAGCCATTCTGGGTGAGTCCCATCCCTCAGCAGCTGGTTCATTTGAGCTGCGAGGCGCTCATGGAGTGATATGAGTGTCCTTAGCCAGTAGTTATACATACATATAAAGATGTATCCACTTTTTCCTCCTCATTTGAAAAAAACCAAAAAGAACCAACACATTTTCATTTTTCTGTTTATTTATTTGTTTAGTGGATTTGTTTGGGACATTGTGTAATAATGAGTCAGTGCAGTAAATACACCCGTGTCTGCAGTTCCACAGCCGCACTCACAAACACAGTCATTCACTCAGAACTATTCCATAAGTTTTAGTGGTAGAGGAAACTGGAGCACCTGGAGGAACCCAGAACCTTCTGTCTGTACAGCTAACCACTGTGCCTGCACTTCACTGGGCCTACATGGTCCTGTTATTGTTTTAACACCTCTGCAGTGAACAAAGAGCAGGTGATCGTGCGACAGACTGAGAGGAAGATACTTTCATTTATTTATCATGCTATAATCCTCCTGCTGTTGGTCTGAAGGGGTCAGTTTCCATCTTTTCTTTTGTCCTTAATTGTAAAAGAGTAAAGCTCATGATAAATGAGAGTGAGGACTGGACCCAAAGCCTTGTTAAAACTCAGCTCTGGGCCTAATGCAGCCGTGTTTAGGATTTCCTGTATAAACACAGAGCATTCCACAACATCCCAGAGCTGTGGGCCAAGAGTCAGCGAGGCCTGATGCTGCCGCTGATTACACGTCCTGTGGCCACAAAGACAGGACACTCATCACCATCGCTCATGTGGGAGATCAACACTTTTCATGAGCAAAGAAACACACAGCCTCTGTCCAAAAGCAACGCACACAGTTTAAGTCTGATTCACTGAGGCTTTCTGTCAGAGCGCTTCTCCATAGAGTGAAAACAGTTATTTATGTGTATGTTTCTCCTCGAGTATCGGGGATGGGAGAGTGTGACCTTGACCTCTGTGCAAAACCATCTCAAGAACTTCCCAAGGCTCAGGATCTGGACACATATTCCACTTTCTTTTAAAAATGTCAAATACTCAAAATAAGGTAAGTTAGGGGTGACAGTGGCTCAGTTGGTAGAGCATTGGTCTTTTAACCTAATGGTCGTAGGTTTGATCCCCCACGGTCCATGTCATCCCCTCCCACTGAAATCTGTCGTTGTGTCCGTTGGCAAGACTCTTCACCCCACTTTGCTGGAAGCCCCCACCAAAACACAGAGGCCGTGTCTTTGGTGGTGGAGCAGCCATCTTCCTATGGACCCACCACCTGCAGGAGGATCAGTGAGGGTCAGTGAGGGTCAGTGAGGGCTGGTGCTATGAGGAGTGGTTGGCAGCCAGAAATGACCATCCACGCTAACCAAGAACTCCTGGCTCAGACATGTAGCTCCTGTCGCAGTCTTGTAACAGTATCTGCCGAGTAGAGATCTATTACTGTCCTCAATTTTGTTTATTTACTCCAAAATATGTTTGTCAGGCTCCCATGGACTTCAAAAATGTGACTTTTCTAAAAAAAAAAATAAAGTGCTGATCTGGTCACATTAGACACCCGCCATGTGAGACTGTTTGTGTCTTCAGGCCAAAAATATGTTTGCTTTGTCAAAAAAATAAAAATCCAGCCGGTGAATAACTATAGCTTTTATCAATTCTTTGACATAATGAAAAAGATATAATTGATAAAGAATGAAGACACAACCCATCAGTTGCGTGCGCAGATAAACAGAACCGTTTTTAACCTGGATTTGAACATTGTCAGAGTAGAATCCTGTCTTTTCCTGTTTTATTTTGTGACTCGTGTCTTCCTTGTTCTACCTCCTGTTCCCTGAGGACTGCCCTCCTGTGTGTCACCTGGTTCTTTTCGTCGTGTGTGTCTAAACCATAGACCGTCTTTGTCATTTCCACGTCTCTTGGTTTTCTGTCCTCCTCCAGAGTAAAAGTACAGATGGTAACCAATCGTTCTGTGTTTTTACTCTGGATTTTACTTTTATAATATAACTTATTTTTGCAGTCCTGCATTTTGCCAAATGACAAACGAGTTGCAGCCCTGACACACACGCGACACGTACAGTCTAATGTGTATTATATTCCTGTAACACACACACAGATTCAGATTCAGATTCAGTTTATTTGCCATTTGCAGTAAAAAACCACATTGGAATACATTAGCAAAAAGTCATCAGTGTGCACAGACAAATACAGACATAAAACAACATTAAAAGACAGAAATAAAACAAATGAAACAGTAAACAAATAACGAGATGTCCTGCATCTCAGAGAACAATATCTTCTGCCAGAGGGAAGAAGCTGGAACATGGCTTTCCCAGGGTGGCCAGAAGAGTCATTAACAATCCTAAGAGCTTTGTTTAAAAGTCTGGATTTATAAAGAACCTCCAGAACAGGAAGCTCACAGCCCACGGTCCTCTTTGCAGAGCGGAGCACCTTGTTTAAAGCTCTCTTTTCTTTATCTGTGAGGTTTCCAAACCACACAGACACAGAACCAACAAGTAAACTCTCAATGGTGCAGCGATAAAAGTTAAGCACAATCTTAGAGTTAGTGGTAAATTCTCTAAGTTTACGCAGAAAGTAGAGACGCTGACGAGCTTTCTTAACGACTCGGTCAGTACTGTTACATCTGCAGTCCTTACAACATGACGAAAACCAGATAGGGAGAGTAAAGGGAGACATTTACAGTTAAAAATCAAACTAATGCCTCCCCTGACATGTGGTCACGGACTCATGTGTCCTCCCTGTGACACTCTGTGATCCCAGAGTCAGATGTCCTGTACACACAGACTACTGCTGAGACAAACTCAGAAGATAAACACACATTTCACACACATGTAACACTTTGTTATCAGTCGATTTATACAACACAGGAACAGAAGGTTATCGTTGCCTTTTGAGGTCAGTGGAGCTGTAGTCCTTCAAATTATACATCATTTTCCA